ATAAGTTTTTTTTTTTATTTTTTATTAATGGTTTAAGATACACACCTTCGCAATAGATTGAATTATGGTGCGTTTACAACCTTATTTGTTGACTGATTTGAAACTTCAGAAGCTAGTTTAGGCCCAATATTAATAAAGAATTCATTAAAAGCTTCAGATACATTTTCATCGTTGCGAATAATTTTATCGTCAATTTCAATTTCATTAACATGTTTTGTTTTGCTGGCACGACCAGCAGTTTTGCTGGCACGACCACCTTTAGTTTCCAAGTAGTTTTTGGATCGTTCTTATTACATTCGCCAATTTTTTGGCAGTAATAGCGAGATTTACTTTTCCAAATTTCCTTTTCAGAGCCATATTTAATTGATTGTTTTTTATGATAATCACGATTACGCATAATTTTTTTAATGTTCTAATTTAGACATGGAATTGCGGTTATGCCGTATACGCTGAAGTCTCAGAGGCGCATGCCTATCTAAAACCTCATTAAAATGATTTTCCCACGCCTTCCAACCCAAATTAGGATCATTAATGGTTTCCATTGTTTGCCAAGGTATATTAAGGAGATCACAAATGAAATTTTCCTTCACAAAGTGTTTTATGTTTCGTACTTCTTTTTTGATTTGTCTACGCTTATATGGGATAAATTTGCGGACAACGTAGATTAAACTATGGTCAGACATACCATTATGAATAACTCCTGATTTTGCTATGTTTCTTGTCTCATTTGTGAATATCAAGTCAATTAAAGTGGCTGATCTGTTTGTCATTCGTGTAGGCTTCGAAATCAGTTGTTGCAACAGATATGTAGATGACATAAATTTTAGCCTTTGAGTATGTGATTCAGATGGATTTTTAAAATAGTCACAGTTCATATCTCCCAGAACAATCAACTGCTTATTTTCATAATCACATTTTTCAACAAATTTAGTGTAATCTTCAAATACGTTTATACTTGCATTTGGCGGTCTGTACCATGTACTAACCAAAAATTTGTTATGCTTTGGCGGCCATATTAAAAAATCGGGCGGGCAGGCCCTGGGTACGAGGTTGGTGTGTGTGTGTGTTGCAAATAATGAAACAATTAAGCATTATTTGCTATAGTGTTTCCGATGCTCTGAGAATTTCCATACCTTCAGCTGCTGCTCAAGTTTGTGGCGATAGCTGGAATCTTTTGTCGGATTCTCAAAAATTAAAATTGTTTTTGTTTAGTGATGTTAATCTAAATATAGATGATAGCAAAAACAATTTAAATTTCGTCCAACAATTTAAGAATCTGTCAAGTTTCGTCAAGTTTCATAAGGAATCCTTCAAACGATCTAGTAACTCAGTTTGTCTATGTTTTACTTACATTACGTTATTTTTATAGTTAAATATTATGTAAATAGTGAGGTAAGCCCCTTGAAGAGCTTGATAGCTCAATATACAGAATGCAAAAAAAAACCAGCAAAGCTTTTTCTTAACAAAAAGAATGCATTTCATGGTTAAGCTTACGTTAAGCCTAGCAATTTTATATTTTTATGAGAATTAAGTTAAGAAATAAATAAAATTGAATTGTATACATGTTTATAGCTCGCTTATTGAAATATCCTCTTTTCTCATATTTTGGGAGAATTTAATATTTGTTTGTTGTCTTTCCCGGGAAAGAATAACACGTATGACTTGCATATATATATATATATATATATATATATATATATATATATATATATATATATATATATATATATATATATATATATATATATATATATATATAGTAACATCCGGGAGTTAGCACTTCCGGCGGGAAAAAACAGGCACCTCGAGGAGAACTAGACAGCTGTATTAACAAGGGAGTTTTACTTAGCATAGTTGGGTTTAAAGGTTAAAATACTACATTTGGCGACGAGATAAAATGGCAAATCATGGAAAACTAGAAGAATATGACTTACAAGAGGAATGGAGTCAGTATATTGAGCGGTTGGAATTTTATTTCGAAACAAATGGCGTGGACGACGAAGATAAACAACGAGCGATATTATTGAGTGTTTGTGGTAGCAAGACGTATAAGTTGATTCGGAACTTAATCACGCCGAGAAAACCGTCAGAGAAGACGTTTGCAGAGCTAGTAGAACTAGTACAACTTACAACATCAACACCCAAAACCGTCGGCAATAATGCAACGATTCAAGTTTAATACTCGGTTCAGGAAACCTGGTGAGTCAATTGCTTCGTATGTAGCTGAATTAAGAAGTCTTTCAGAACATTGTGATTTCAAGAGTACCTTAGAAGAGATGTTACGTGATCGGTTGGTGTGTGGAATAAATGACGAACAGGTTCAGCGTAGATTGTTAGCAGATAGTTCTCTCGACTTTAAGAAAGCCATGAAAATAGCTACATCAATGGAGACTGCAGTAAAGAATGCACGAGATTTGACACGTCAGATGGCCAATGCAAATATAAATACTGAGAAACCTGCAACATTACACCGTGTGGACAACCAAGGACAAGGAAACCAACCATGGTCAAAGCCTGAATGTGGTCGGTTTGGGGGTAAACATGACCCGCAACAATGCAAATTTCGCGATGCTGAGTGTTTCCTGTGCCACAAGAAAGGACACATAGCAAGAAAATGTCGAAGCAACACTAAGGCGACTGGAAAACATCAACGAAACGACAACCCTAACTCAGGCACTAGCAGCAACTATTTAAACATGAAGGATGACGAGATCGAAGAGGAAGACGACAACTATGGGATTTATAGTCTGGGCAAAGGACAAGCTGAGCCATATGTTGTTGATGTACTGGTGAGCAATGAAAGTCTAAAGATGGAAGTAGATACTGGTGCTGCAGTTAGTGTAATGAATGAGGATACATATACATTATTGAAGAAAAAACACCCAAACCTAGAGCTGAAGGAATCAAAGGTAAGACTAAATACCTATACGGGAGAGCAAGTTAAAGTTTTGGGTCAGCTGGAGACTTCGGTGAAGTATGAAGATCAAGAAGACGTATGGCCTTTACTAGTCATAACGGGGAAGGGCCCTAACTTGATTGGCAGAAATTGGCTCCAAAAGATTAAAATAAATTGGAAGAATTTATTTCAGTTAAAAGAGGACAAGAATACCTCAGTCAAAGTTAATAAGTTACTTGAGAAGTATGAGAAAGTGTTTCATGAAGAGTTAGGAACATTTTCTGGTCCCAAAGCCAAAATATATGTGGCTGAGGATGCAAGTCCAAAGTATTACAAGGCAAGACCTGTTCCCTATGCATTGAGGGAATAAGTAGAAAAGGAGTTAGAAAGATTGCAAGAAGAGGGAACTATAAAGCCTGTCCAGTTTGCAGATTGGGCAGCGCCAATCGTACCAATCGTTAAGGATGATAAGTCGATAAGAATTTGTGGGGATTATAAAGTAACTGTCAACCAAGCTGCAAAGTTAGACAATTACCCGATTCCCAAGGCAGAAGATCTTTTTGCCACTTTAAGTGGTGGAGAGAAATTCACCAAGCTGGATATGAGTCAAGCCTATCAAAAAATCTTATTGGAGGATGAATAAAAAAAATATACTACCATCAACACACACAAAGGACTTTTTCAGTACGATCGATTGCCATATGGAGTGTCCTCGTCCCCTGGGATTTTCCAGCGTACTATGGAAAACCTACTGCAGGGGATTCCTTTCGTGGTTGTGCGAGTGGATGATATTTTGGTCTTTGGTTCGAATGATGAGGAACATTTAGCAAATTTAGAAGAAGTTCTAAAACGGTTGTCAGAGCATGGGTCACGCCTAAAGAAGAAGGAGTGTGCCTTCATGGTGAACGAGGTGATGTATTTAGGCCAGAAGATAAATAGTCAAGGAATACAACCATCCAAGAGAAACTCAGAGCCATCACCAATGCACCGGCACCGACGAATGTGTCTGAGGTTCGATCATACTTGGGAATGATCAACTATCACCAAAAGTATTTACCAAATTTATCAACGATTCTGGCACCACTGCACAGCCTGTTGGAAAAAGGGAAAAGTTGGAAATGGAGTGAAGAGCACCAAGAGGCATTTAGAAAATCCAAAGAGTTATTGAAGTCCTCACATCTATTGGTGCATTATGACCCGGAGAAGGAGTTAATACTGGCTTGCGATGCCTCACCATATGGCTTGGGGGCTGTTTTGTCACACCGAATGGAAGACAACGCGGAACAACCAATTGCATTTGCCTCGAGATCACTGTCCGCAGCTGAGAAAAACTATTCTCAACTAGACAAAGAGGCGCTAGCCATCGTATTTGGCCTCAAGAATTTTCACCAGTACGTGTATGGTCGACATTTCACCATACTGACAGATCACAAGCCGCTTGAGCGGGTACTTCATCCAGATAAAATGACACCACCAATGGCTGCAGCTCGAATTCAGCGGTGGGCCTTAATTTTGCCTGCGTATGACTACGCCATTCAGTACAAAGAAGGAATTCAGAATGAAAATGCTGATGACCTCAGTAGATTACCATTGCCAGACACCCCAGGTTCAACACCAGTTCCTGAAGAAACAATCTTACTCATGGTACTATTGGAGACTACTCCAATAAGAGCAGAGGAAGTGAAGAACTGGACAACGAGAACTCCTATACTTGCTAGAGTTTTGAAATTTATTAAACAAGGTTCGCCTAGCAAGTGTCCAGATGGGGAGTTTCAACCATATTTTCAACGACGAGACGAGCTGAGTGTTCAAGACGACTGTATACTTTGGGGAGACAGAGTGGTTGTTCCACCCCAAGGAAGAAGGCAAGTGGTTGACGAATTACATGAAACCCACCCAGGAATATGTAAGATGAAAAGTCTAGCAAGAAGCTACGTGTGGTGGCCGAACATGGATAACGATTTGGAAAACAAAGTACGAACGTGCAACAACTGCCAGATAAATAGAAAGAATCCTCCTGAAGCGCCAAGAATGGCCAAGCCGACCATGGGAAATAATTCATATTGACTATGCTGGTCCATTCTTGGGGAAAATGTTCCTCATCATGGTCGATGTGTACTCAAAATGGCTCGAAGTGCATCCAACGAATGTGGCAACATCGAGAGCAACAATTGAAAAACTTCGATCAACATTTGCAATCCACGGCCTTCCTAAAACAATTGTTAGTGATAACGGTAGTAATTTTTGCAGTGAAGAATTCGAAGAATTTCTGGCGAAAAACGGCATTCATCACAGAAGGACTGCTCCTTATCATCCAGCCTCCAATGGACTTGCAGAACGGGCGGTCCAGACGTTTAAGGAAGGGATGAAGAAGATGTCAAATAAGGAAAGTTTGGAAACTAGAGTGTCTCGGTTTCTCTTCAAATACCGTTTCACGCCACACTCAACCACAGGGATAGCGCCAGCGGAAATGCTTATGAGCAGAAAACCAAGATCTTCCGGCCCTTGGACGTACTACATCCAGATGTAAGACAAAGAGTACAGGACCAACAGAAGAAGCAGAAAGAGTTACACGATCAACATGCAGTGGATCGACAATTACGACCAGGTGATTTAGTATATTCGAGAGAATATGGAAAACAACAAAAGTGGTGTCCAGGAGTGATCAATACACAAACCGGGCCAGGTTCCTATACCATACAGTTGGAAGACGACCGCGAGGTTCATCGCCATCAAGATCAAGTGATCCATAGAGAAACACCCGAAGAAAACGAAAATGATGTCATGGATCGAGATATCAACCAGCAACCCGCTCCAGACCAACAAGTGGTTAGCGAAGAAAATGCAGTCCCAGCAGCCCGATATCCGCAAAGAGATAGACAGACACCGGACTATTATTCGTGAGTAATTACATTAATATTAGAGTATAAAACACTATCCCTTAGGATTATAAACACTATCCCTTAGGATTATAAACTGTTAGGTTATAGTGTTGACATTATTAGTTTAGATGTTATGTTGCAGAGAAAAAACCCGGCGGAAAAAAACAGGCACCTCGAGGAGAACTAGACAGCTGTATTAACAAGGGAGTTTTACTTAGCATAGTTGGGTTTTAAGGTTAAAATACTACACTGTGTGATTACCTATACTTATATTGCATTGACATTTGTATTACAGTGAACTATAATTGCTGATGTTTTATGATTATTGTACATTATTTTTGGTGCCCCCCCCTCACTACCTTTCTTGGATATTTTTGGTAGCCCCTCCCCCTAACTGGTTGATAAATTTTTGGTGGCCCCCCAATGACTGCTCCCTTACATAGCCATTTAACACCTCTTCAATCTTGCGAAAATGACGTCAGGTCAGTTTGCTGGATGGAAAATAGTGCTAACCAATGTGCTAACCCGATTCCGCATACACGTGTGCGTTTTGATAGTTGCAAATTCTGACATTCGTACTCGTATCAATCGAGTGATCATTGTTTTATTTTTGGATATTAGAATTTCTGATACTACCAAAATGGACGTTTTGAGAAAGTGTTACGAGGTTACGTGTTCCCTTCGGGAATATGTTGAACTTCATCTGCAAGAATTCAGCGCTAGTGAAGCTTTGGAAAGCTTTATGAATTCAAGCATGGTGGCTTGTAATGCCGACACGAACATGCGCCTCGATGGAGCTTTCACAACCAACAAAGCAAGCACGATGGACGAGCTACTGGAGTTCGTTATAACTCGAGCCGCCGCCAAAGGCAAAATGCGAGACAACGTGTTGTCTTTGGGATATAGACGAAGCCAAATTCGACCGGCAGTGATGGGATCGCAAACAAGTGGCTATGAAAACAACATGGTCGCTCATGTTCAGTCGCCTGTCTTTGAGGAGCTACATGGAATGATCGGGAGCGATTTAATGGTCCATTTATTAAAGGACCTTAGCTTGTTTGTTAAGACAGGCTCGTGTTATTTACAAGTAGCGGGATGTCCCGTAAATGAAGTTGGTTTGAAGCAGGATACGGCGACGAAAGCGGATGGCCAAAACGGTTAGTTCAAATGTTCAATAATTCAATTAGATTTTATGAAGCTCGCGGCAAACGACTCAATTTACAATTCTGGGGCGGATTGTTCACAAGTCGACTAGCTTTTAATAACCCCAGGTTAACCAAAGCAAACTACTTTATTATAAATTTGTTTGATTTAATTATTATAATTCGCAATTTGTTTACACTTTATAAATTTGGAAATATTTCTTCAGAAATCTTGTCTACCTCAGCAGGAGTTGTACCCTCTGGAGTTTTGAAATAAACAGACGTGCAGAAATACAAACTACTAAAACTTTACAAAATTTTGTTTTCTTTGCTAGTAATTTGGCTTTGAACAACCGGTCCTTGAACAACCGGCCCTTGAATAACCGGCCCTTGAATAACCGACCCTTTGTTCTTCTGGGGCCGGTTGTTCAAAAGACGGCTAGCCTAACTCTGGGTAAACACAAAATTTTCCAACAGCTCATCAATCAAGTTGAATATGTTTTTCCAGAAATCTTCCCTGGTTCAACAGAGGTTTTATTTTCTAAAGTTTTGAAACGAATGATCATGCAGAAGTACATAAACAAAAACAGCAGGTTAAAATTTAACCCAGGGTTAGCGCTAATCAGACTTTGAACAACCGGCACCTGGGGCTGGGTTAAAATTAAAACAGCCGGTTAAATTTTGATTGACTGTTAGAGCTAATCCAGCCTTGAATAATTGGCCCTGGCGATTTAGTTTCCTGTGGAACAACCACTGAACCTCCTTATAACTAATTACTGTATGGCTTGATGCACCCCACTCTATTAATTTACTCTGTCTTATTAAATGTCTGACTATTTTACTCTGTCTAGCACCAGAGCATTTTACTCGTCAAGGAGATAGCGCTGGCACTTAATAGGTTAATATATTTCACAGTCTATATATTAGTTCTAATGCACCAGTCATTTGCTTCGTTAGGGGCTGTGTATATTGAAACGAGCCCAGTAAACTGGTTTATATGGAAAAAAAATTATCCTCCTTGGGGCTAATTTTGCTGCGTTGACAGTTAAAAAAAATAGCTTGCAACTGACTGACGGCAGCTTTAATCTTGGCAAGTGAGTGTTTCATCCTTGCAACCAAGATGTCAAACCCAGCTTGTCTGTATAAACACAAAGTAATTTCTGTCACAAAAATAACTACACAAGAAGATCTTGCTCACCACTGTTACAAAAAGTGGCTGGTGGCCTAACAGTTTTTATTATTAGCATGACAAAATTACTGGATGCTGATTGGTTTAGAGGAGTACAATTATTTCATTAATTGTACTGCAGTACAATTAGTGATTTGCCCAAAACAAACAAAATGGCAGAAAGGTATTTTGAACACAAATGTGAAATGAAATTGCCCTTGAGGAACTAGATGAAAATACGAACAAACGCGCCAAATTTTGCTTGAACAAAAGAACTAAATGAAAATACGAACAACATTGAAAGTCTGGCAGGACTGGGCTTTGGCGAGAGAATATGAATATAATCATGCGATGTCGCTCGTCCAATTAGGGATTAATTTAATAGTACTACAGTAGTGATGTTTGGAAATTTGCCAAATTGGACTCGCCCCGGCGGCCAGTCCAATTTTGGCGAAATTTCCAAACATCACTACTGTAGTACTATTAAATTAATACCTAATTATACTCGGCATCGCATGATTACCTATACTTATTTAGGGGGGCTAATTTCCATAAAGTGTTCAATGTTCAAAATGTTTTACGGATATGTTGGTGACTGACCCACTCTCCTTGACAAGTACAATAACCAGTATGGCATATTATTGTACAGGGTATGAAATTAAAAGTTTAGTATCCCCACTGTGAGTCCAGTATCCCCTTGTATTCAAGAGCTATCAGGTAATCAAAGGTGTTCAACTTTTTCTTAAGTACCGTAATGTTTTAAATTTTCTTAGTATCAGTTTTGGTATCCTGCAGATATCGGGATACCTGTACTGCAAATTTTAGACCCTGTTTTGTGAACACAAAGTAATTCCTATTGTATAATAAGTACATGACATGATCTTGCTTACCTCAGGGCTATCCTGTTAACTTAACAGCCCAGCTTCCATATTTACAGAGCAAAGACTTGTTATTCTCTAGGCTTTCATATACTAACCAAATGAGTGGCAGCACTCCCCTTGCGAGTGAAATAGTCTGACATTAAACAGAGTGAAATAACAAAGTAGGGCGCATCTGGGCGCATTGCCACTTAAGGAGGCTCCCTACAGTTTCCAATGTATGTCAGTGTTTTACACTAAAACCTATTTAATTAATTTGAATCTAAAAAACCTAATTTTTTGCACAAGCCATTGTTTCCTCTTATATAAAAGAGTAATTTTAACCCACAATCGCTACTCTTCACATTACCATGACAACATGACGTCACCATCTATATGGCCTATATCAACCAAAAAAACCGCCTTAGCGGACAAATAAGCATGGTGACCTACCTTTTTTATTGCAGAAAATACATTTTCAAATAACTTTCAAACAGGATTCAAAACTTCATAACAATGTATTTTCTGCAATAAAAAATTAAGGGAGGTCATCGTGCTTATTTGTCCGCTAAGACGGCTTTTTTGGTTGAAAAAGGCCATATAGATGGTGACGTCATGTTGTCATGGTAACGTGAAGAGTAGCGATTGTGGATTAAAATTACTCTTTTACATAAGAGGAAACAATGGCTTGTGCAAAAAAATAGTTTTTTAGATTCAAATTAATCAAATAGATTTTAGTTTAAAACACTGACATATATTGGAAACTGTAGGGAGCCTCCTTAACAAGCTAAATGAATTAACAAGGTACATGGGCAGATTGTCTGATTAACCCATTGAGTGGCAGCACTGTCCCCTGACAAGTAAAATGGTTTGGCATTAGACAGAGTAAAATAACAAAGTAGGGTGCATCTGTACACTGGTTGCATCATACACTAACATGTTGTACAGTACTTGTTATTTCACTTCTCAAGGGGATATACAGATATTGCACAGTACACTCCCTATCAGGGTTTTTCAGTGACTGGTTACATTGTGAATAGATACAAATGATGTAGATAGACAGAACCGGAACTGACATGAAGCAGACTGAGGTAGACTGTGAGCATACAAATGGCGCTTTTACCAGCTGCTATTAGTCCGTACCTCATTGACGATCTGCCCCCTAACCTATGAAATAAATGTCCAGCCCTTTGGGCAGCTTATACAAACAAAACCTAATCCCTTTTCTTACAAAGGCCAGTTCATCTCCATGAATATTCAAATGCCATTTCCGAAAGTATTTAAGTTGTCTGATGCTTGTGTGTATCAAGCCTGAATATAATTTTCATGGATGCCTGTTGTGCACCAATTGGGTTGTGCCTGACAATTCTCACATAGTGGCTGAGATCACAAACAGGCCTTAAAATATCGGTCGGTCACGGACATTGTCCGACCCATTTGTGAAATTGCCCTACGTACAGAGGAAACCACCGGACATTCTGTCCGACCTAAGTGAAACTGAGGTTTATTGTTTGTCCGACCCGAGTGTATTGGTGTCCGACCGAACTGTTGTTTTGTCAATCAAAATGTTGCTGGCGGCAAGCGAAATGGTGAAGTGAAAAACGAACTTGAGTGTCGACATCTTGCTGTTGTTATTGGGATGCAAGTTAATTTAGATATTTAATATCTTCGCAACGTTTACCGTTCAGAATTAATACACTGTGCTGATATTCGTTTGTGTCATTCAGATTTATTTTCGAGCCAAACTGAACTGAAGCTCATCGGACATCATCATACATATGTCTGACCCAAACTCAAAGTCATCGGGCACTTTGTCAGACGGCCCTGTAAAAGATATTTTAAGGCCTGCACAAATATTGGAATATTATAGTATTAATTAATATTGAAAATGCAAACATATACTTAAATGTGACCTGGCAGCAAGTGCAAAGAAGAGACTGGTGCAAATTGTGTTGTGACAGGCCATTTTCACTGTTTTCACTCAAATCAGTGTAGCATACATACTGTTCAGTGAGAAAAGCATTTAGCCGGACATTTGCTCTTTATGTCTCGGACAGTGTCTGTGTTCGGCCTCTTATTTTCAGGCTTTGTGTACATTTTTGTTAACCCTTTAAGCAGCAATGTGCCCTGTTGCACCCTACTATATTGTTTTAATCTGTATAACACCAGGCGATTTTACTTGTCAAGGGGAGAGTGTTGCCACTCAATGGGTTACGTGGCAATTTCAAATACAATGTAAACAATATTGTTGGTCTGTGGGAGTGCTCTTGATGATGAGTAAAATGGTCTGGCATTAGCCAAAGTATAATTATAATAAATTTGCTCGGTGCAATTCAACTTGATGGGTTAACTAGACACATGGGCAGATTTAACCCATTGAGTGCCAATTGTCTGGTGTTAGACAGAGTAAAATAATAAAGTAGGGTGCATTAAGCTGCAATACACGCTTCCAGAAAGTACATCACCTTGGCTATAGAGCCTCGTTTTCGTGATTAAGACGTGGCCTTTAACTGATGTCAGATACATGAAAACGAGGCTCTATAGCCAAAGTGACGTATTTCCGAAAGGGTGTTTTAAACTTAACCGGTTAATTTAATGGCATGTTGGAGTGACTATTTTGCATAGGATTGCATCCATATACCATACTTTGTTATTATTTTACTCCGTGACAATTTTAATTGTCAATAGAAAAGTGCCAGCTATCTGCCCAATTGTGTCCTGTTTACCCTTTAAACGACATTGACATTCGCCCTACTTTGTTATTCTACTCTGCCTAAAACAAAGGTCGAATCGAGGTTCGAGGAACTTCATTAATAAAAAATGCTGGTCCCGAGAAGATTTAACCATATATATATATATATATATATATATATATATATATATTTAACCATCTAAAAATATTTAGCGCTGACGTTGCTTTGCAAAGGAAAATACTGTTATCATTTTTGCTAAATGAATGTACTGTACACATTGCTTATAGCACACTGTTAACTTGAACTGTGATCTATTTTGTACATAGCTGTTGGACAATTTTACTTCTCAAGAAAAAACCCCACTCGGTGTCAAGCCACTGTGCATGCAAAGCCCATTATATAATAACTACAGTGAAACACGCAATTTGATTGGTCAACAGCCGTGCAGTATCAGACAATCCTGCACGGGAAATTCTGAACAGAAATTCTTGCACATAATTTTACAAATATACTCGCATTGTAAAGTTTCATTGCACGATACCTTTCGACTTTGAAGTAAGTTTGCAATTATTGAGACGTTGGTTTAGTTGTATGAATAAATTTCTGATCGATACAACGCGTAGCGTTGAAATTCATCAGACCATGGCATGCAGGTACAACATCTCTCGCTTCAAAGTTGATCAAACGCTTCGCAATCTTCACGTATTCAGGTCGAGAATCGTCAAAACTACTTTGGCTCTCTGTTTAGCGGGTTTTCCATTTCAAATTTCGTATATTTTATCGAAAAAGTCCCTGTATTTTCGCTGTATATTTTTGCGAATATAATTTGCGATCAAATTCTGTTCACATTTGTTGTTGTTTTCAATAGCGTGGAGTAGCGATTCTCCGATTGGTTAATTCACGATTGTTGTGAGAACTGCACATTTCATCAGTAATTTTAATCAAGTTAACCGTCGTTTCACTGTAGTAATTTTATAAAACAATTACCAAATGGTTTTCCCGTGCAGGATAGCATGATCCATGCACTTGGGATGTTGCTCGACTTTCGGAAAGCGTAAAAGTACACTCGCCTACGGCTCGTGTATTTTTACGCTTTCCGAAAGTCTCCCAACATCCCGCGTGCATGGATCACGCAATCCTGCACGGAAAACCATTCGGTATTCCTTTAATAATATATTTTGGTCAAATACCAAGGCAAGTCGTTTTACTATCAGGAGGAAAATTATGCTCCTTAACCTATTGTATTGCTTTGCGGCCCAATGCCGTCTACAGTGCTTTATTATTTTTATATATTACATCAGATGATCGTTCTCGTCTATGAGAGAGTACTGGTGCTCAATGGGCTAAGCCCAAGATTAAGAATATCCCCGTAAATCAGGGCTCGAAATAGCGGACTGCCAATGGCAAAAAGCAGGTGATATTTTAGAAATGGCAGGCAAAAACAAATTTTAACTGCCAAAGTAAAAAAAAAATGGCAGGTGAAATTCTATAGATATAATTCATTAAAGCAATACCGAATGATTTTCCGTGCAGGATTGCGTGATCCATGCACGCGGCATGTGGCAAGACTTTCGGAAAGTGTAAATACACGAGCCGTAGGCGAGTGTATTTTTACGCTTTCCGAAAGTCGAGCAACATCCCAAGTGCATGGATCATGCTATCCTGCACGGGAAAACCATTTGGTAATTGTTTTATAAAATAGACACTTCCCGAATTTGCTTGAGTGCACACGAAACAATAGCTTGGAATCGAGGCGGACAATGTAATCATTGTAAATAAGTAGTTATTTACAATGATTACATTGTCCGCCTCGATTCCAAGCTATTGTTTCGTGTGCACTCAAGCAAATTCGTGAAGTGTCTATTACTACAGTGAAACGACGGTTAACTTGATTAAAATTACTGATGAAATGTGCAGTTCTCACAACAATCGTGAATTAACCAATCGGAGAATCGCTACTCCACGCTATTGAAAACAACAACAAATGTGAACAGAATTTGATCGCAAATTATATTCGCAAAAATATACAGCGAAAATACCGGGACTTTTTCGATAAAATATACGAAATTTGAAATGGAAAACCCGCTAATCAGAGAGCCAAAGTAGTTTTCAAGATTCTCGACCTGAATACGTGAAGATTGCGAAGCGTTTGATAAACTTTGAAGCGAGAAATGTTGTACTTGCACGCCATAGTCTGATGAATTTCAACGCTACGCGTTGTATCGATCAGAAATTTATTCATACAACTAAACCAACGTCTCAATAATTGCAAACTTACTTCAAAGTCGAAAGGTATCGTGCAATGAAACTTTACAATGCGAGTATATTTGTAAAATTATGTGCAAGAATTTCTGTTCAGAATTTCCCGTGCAGGATTGTCTGATCCTGCACGGCTGTTGACCAATCAAATTGCGTGTTTCACTGTAGTTAATATATAATTCATTTTCTTTCCACGACTCGTATAGACTAGATCATTTAGTTGACTAAATACACAAATCCAAAGAAAACAATAAAAATGCATATTATGAAAACATTGAATCTCATTGATTTTTACAATGTGACTCATATGAGACATTAGCCTGCTCACAGACGTTGTTATTCTTACGTCAAGCGACGAATTACTACCGTCTGCTTACCCGAGCGCCAAACTGAATTCCGCTACGTCGACCAATCAGAATTTACCTTCCAAATTCTGGAAAGTGACGTCAGTTGATTTAGGAGCGGAATAAATATAAATATATATAAATATATATTTTGAAAGCAGTCGTCGGTTGAATTTTGCTCAAAATTGCACATAAATTGAATTTAAAGATACTGATACTTGTCCAGGTAATAAAATGCACCATTAATGATTATATTTGGATATTAAAGATGTTCGGTTATATTTAAACGCGGACAGGATTGGCATATTTAATATACTGTATGAAGCCAGACAGGCGAGACAGCATCAAATGCCGAATATATTTCGCTGAAATTTGAACTTTTGACGGATGTTTATCTTTATAAGACAACAGAACTCGGAAGACAGAAAATTTGATATAATACTGTGGCTTAGAAAGCGAAATATTAGCTTCAAAGTAAACTAATTTGCTGTTTGGGCAACCTCTTCTGAATGTAAACTGTAAAGTTAACACAACACAAACCCGAGAAACTTGTATTGAAATTGCGTCGTGATGAGTTTTCCAATTCGCCCAAACTTTGAAACGTTTATACTCTAACTTGGCTATACTTTTGTACATGACAATGAGAACTTAATCTTTTATAAGTTTAATAATAACTAGGTGTATTAGTTATGTAACGTTGTCAAGTTGGTAACAACGATGTAAACAACTTCGATAACATGGGGGAAGATAATATGCACAGGTTTACACAATATGATTTTTTCTCTGTTGTTGTTGTGTACTCCGGTGAATAAGATGCTTGTGATGTTACTCTGAGTGTATATCCACACCGGACGAGTTTGAAAAATATACCCGGCCACGGTGGGAATCGAACCTACGACCTTTGGAATACTAGCTCAGTTGGAATACTAGCTCAGTTGGCAGAGAATTGGGCTAGTATTCCAAAGGTCGTAGGTTCGATTCCCACTGTGGCCGGGCATATTTTTCAAGCTCGTCCGGTGTGGATATACACTCAGAGTAACATCACAAACATCATATTCACCTGAGTACACAACACCAACACAGAAAAAAATCATATTACTAGATTACACTGGTATCGAAGGAACTAGATTCTGTTCCGAAATATCACTTACTCGAACCGTCCTGACCGCGTGGTAGCTCAGTTGGCAGATCATTGGGCTAGTATTCCAAAGGTCGTAGGTTCGATTCCCACCGTGGCCGGGCATATTTTTCAAGCTCGTCCGGTGTGGATATAAACTCAGAGTAACATCACAAACATTTTACAAAATATGTTTCCATTCTTATCTGTGTAGATGAGAGACGACCTGTCATGGATGGCAGTGCATTGGTGAGTCGCCAAATTTACCATGCTGTTGGCAGTGACAAGAAAAGATGTTTGCCAAAAACCCATGTAATGGAAACTACCCCTTCATCATCATCGGGTGCCATTTCCTTAATGACACTCATATTCCAAGACAAAGATAGCAAACGTCTCGCTAAATGCCTGAGGGATTCTGTGGACGTTTTTGTCGTGTTTTTGAGACGTCACAAGTCTTGCCCATTCAAGGTGCTTTTGGATAAGTACTGCCCTGTTGATGGCAAGTATGAAGATACTGGCAGTGTTAAAAACGTTCCATACTTTCAGGTAATTTTTGCAAATTTAATTGTGTTAGTATGCTGTGCAAGAATGGTTTTTGATATGTGAATCCATTAGAGAAGTTAATTCGTATGGCACAATGGATGATTCCAGGTAGCGACTAATTTTTTTATCTAGACAAGAAAGACGAAATCTATCATTGTAGCTCAAAAGAGAATTCTAAAATTTGTAAAATTGCAAAGTTTGGTTGCGAAATGTTGTAAATTACGAAAAATATAGCCATGTGAAATTAGCAAATTTTGAGTATTTTAGTATTACGCGCGGAGAAATGCACCAGTTTTGGCTCAAAAGTGGCGATCTCTACTCCTCTAAGCCGCTCAATTATTCAACAATTTTCTTTGCGTTTCCTCGACGAAAACCCACATGAAAATGCTCGTCTGAAAACCTCGGTTATTGTCGTATTTTACGAATCTGCCACGTGATTTATGATCACCGATACGCTCACGATGACACGAAATTTAGAGGTACATGAAAGTTGCATGCCATAT